TAGTACAATCATATATGCTAAGATTGGCTAATATTTGGAATAGACTCTCCTGCTCGGGCAAGGAGTTGGACTAGATGACCTCCAAGGTCCCTTCCAACTCTGTTATTCTAAGTGATTGCCGAACTTCATTGAACTTGAAAAGGTAAGCAAGGTTTGAGAGGAACAATGCATGGATAGGAGGCCACCAAGTCCCAAGACCTATAAGCTGGTGAATGAGAAGTAGTCCTTGACATATGACAACAATTGAGGCCAACGTTTTTGTTACTAAGCAAAACAGTTGTTAGATTCAGTTTTGCTCTGTTTTTTTTTAACCTTTCTTGCCACAGTTGTTGTGAATTACTTCAGATGTTAAATGAATAAATCTGGTTTGGATATTGACTTTGCTTGTCAAAAGGTCACAAAAGGGAATCACATAACCTTGAGGCACAACAACGGTCATAAATACGAACTAGTTTGCAAGCATCTTGAGACACAACAACGGTCATAAACACGAACCAGTTTTGCAAGCGTCTGGATTTTGATCACATGACCATGGGGATGCTACAATGGTGGTAAGTGTGAAAAATGGTCATAAGTCACTTTTTAAAACCCGGTTGTAATTTGAACGGTCCCTAAAACCTATGGTTTGATGGCCATCTGCTGATCTTCAAGGCTTTATGAGAGGAAAAATATTCTGAATTTCTCAGGGGGAATTTTTTTTCCCCCTCTTGGGGCTTCTGCAAAACCTTTGAGTTCAAATCATTTTGGGGGGAGCTCCATTTATCTTTTCTCTGTATAAAATGATGCTTTTTTTATGTCCAAGAGAAATCTTGGCAGCTGTTAGGGCTCCCTCACTGGAAGATAAATGGGATTTCTTGATCCCGAAATCAGTGGAGATCCAGTGCCCCCTTCTGGATTGGCCTTGATCGCTCAGCCTTGCATTATCCACGGCTGAACAACGCTAGATAATTAATCCAACAACCGAGATTTAAGTAAGCAGTGTTTCTCAGTCTGGGCCCCTTTAAGACGTGCGGACTTCAACTCCCAGAATTCCCCCCACCCAACATGGCTGGCTGTGGAATTCTGGGAGTTGAAGCCCACATACCAGAAAATAAGGATGAAAAACTCTCATCTGGACTGGAGCATTTATCGGTAGTCCTGGACTTACAAGAGTTCATTTAGCGACCGTTCAAACTTAGAGCGGCACTGAAGTGACTTACGACCGCTTTTCACACTTAATGACCGTTGCAGCATTCCCCCATGGTCAACGCGATTCGAAATTCAGATGCTTGGCAACCAACTCATATTTATGACGGCTGCAATGTCCCGGGGTCATGTGATTTACCCCCTTTTTGTGACCATCTGACAAAGTGGAGGGGGAAGCCCCGTTCGCTTCACAACCATGCTACTCCCTGAACAACTGCAGTGATTCACGCAACGACGGTGGCAAGAAAGGTCGTAAAAGGGGGCAAAAGTCACTTAACCAATGTCTCAGCAACTTTTGTGGTTCGCCAGCAGCAGGTGCGGATGGCTGAGGTCTTGGAGAGCAAGGACTCAGATGAGGGGCCTGCGTGGGATGCAGGGATGGGGCCAGGACCATCAGGGAGTGGAGTGCAGCCTTCAGAGATGGTGGAGGCTGTCAGCAACGATGAGGAGGTTCCTGAGGAGCCTGTGCTCAGTGCACGTGCACGCAGGACTGCTCGAAGGAGAGAGCAGCAGCACAGGAGACTCAGGAGTAAGGCTGCAAGGTAATGGCCCCTCCCTTCAGAAATAAAAGCCAGCTGAGAAACCGGAGTTCTTTGCAGGAAGCAAAGAAGTTTTTGCGCTCAAGTCTAGTGGACGTTCAGGCTCTCTTAGTTTGTGTTTGGAGACTCTTCGTGTTTGGAATATTTCTTGGCAATTTTATCTAGTGTTCTTGGCAGCCTTGCACCACCTTGGCAAGGCTCGTCCTTATCAGAGACAATTAGTTTGAAACAGTCTTTTAACTGGGAAGGAACAGAATTCATAAAGAATCATTAAAAGGTTTTGCTGTTACCTCCATTTTGTGTTTGTTTCCTTGGAACAAGGTTTGGGTTGGAACAGCAACAGAAATTTTGGGCTCTGTTGAAGCAGTTCCCATGCCTCCGAATTTTAATTATGTGACCACAGAGAGGCTGCAACAGTCATAGCATGATGCACAGGGGACTTTGTATATGCCTTGGTTTTCCAGGTCAATTTTATCTTTGGGGTTTCTAAGGATGGCTGCTATTTTTCTGTCTGTTTTGAAGGCAGTCTTGATGTGATGTCTGTGTAGTATCTTACTAATTTTGTCTGTAGTATCTCTTATGTAGGGCAGGACAGCTGTTCCATAGGTCTGTTCATCTTCTAGGTCCCCATTATGTCTCAGTGTGGATCAAGCCGGTGATTTTGCTTTTGTGAAAGCCATTGGCTGTCAGTACTTTAGTCTAAACTGTTATATTTCCAACATCGTTGGTCCTCTTTTCATCTCATCCATTCATTTACCCTCTCAGCAACTCCTTTCCCAACTTAAAACCTTCCTTCCTGCTCCCACCAGTGATAGAATCTATCCCAAATTGCATAATATGCCGATTCACCTTCATTTTTCACTTCTAGAGTTAGCTTGTCCATTTCAGTGCATATCAATATTATGTTTATTACTTCGTCTATCGCTCGGTATGTTTGTCTCCTTCCCGTTCTGGGCAAATGCTATCCTTGCCGCAGTAATAATAGGTATAATCAAATATAGCTTATCCTTATTGTATTTTATTGACATGATTCCTAATAGAAAGCATTCTGGTACACGATCTAGTTTAAAGCCCAACATTTCCTCCAGCCACTTCCCTGTCCTGAGCCAAACCTCTTGTGTTTTTTTGCAGCTCCACCACACATGGTAATATGTTCCCCGCTCCACTGAGCATTTCCAACAATTTGGGGACTGGCTTTTATACATCTTAGCCAATCTGGCTGGTGGAAGATGCCATTGACAAAACATTTTGAGCAAATTTTCCTTATATGCAGTGGCCGTGGTAAATATTTTTACTTCTTTCCCATATTGTTTGCCATTGATCCAATTTAATGCTGTATCTGAAATCTCTGGCCCATAGCACTGCAGACTCCTTTACTTATTCTTCCTCTAATTTATAGGCTATCAGAAATTTGTAAATTTTCCCTATTAATTTATCCTCTGATCCTAACAGAATTTTGTCTGAAACTGTTTCTTGCATGTTAATTCCCCATTCTTTTTTTATCCTTTTTATACCTTGTAACTGTAAATATTCCCACCACTCTAAATCCATCCCATGCTGCTTTAGGTCCTGTCTAGTTTTTAACTCGCTTGTCACATTTTTTTTTATGTACTACCCATGTAATAACATATATTTTAGCTTTGTCCAAATAAACCAACTTTATATCTCTTCCTTTTGCTCTGAACAATTTTGTCTATGGAGTTTTAACAATTCTGTTCACTAATAGTGTCTCCAAACTTGATATAATTTCTTTTCAGAATCACCTTCATCCCTTTTATAAATCCATTATCCAAGTTGCTATTCTGGTTTCTCATTTGCACATCTCCTTTAATTATGAAGACATGACTTGGTTCCTTTTGTGTATCCATCTTTTTTCCATATCATTAATCATTTTTAAATCTACTTTTGAATCTGCCTGTTACAGCCTTCTCTAATAAAACTTGTTCCTCTTCCATAACACTGTTTAAATTGAGTTTTATGACAGTAAATCATCTTAAAAGTAACTTTGGTGGATTGTTCCCAAATATCCTTGAATTCTGTCGTATTCTGTCATATTTGTGGGTCTCTTTTTTAAGATTGATCTTTAATTCTTTCTGGTCCCCTCTAGCGTGCAAACCTTCAAAGTTTCATCATGTTTTTTCCCCTAATCAACAGCATTGAATGGGAAGCTTTCTAACAATATACTAGAATACAGGTCGTAGGTGAGGCCCTTGTTAAGCGAGTTTTTGCTCTATTTTACGACCTTCCTTGCCACAGCTGTTAAGCGAATCACTGCAGCTGATAAGTCAGGAACGCCGTTGTTAAGTGAATCTGGCTTCCCCATTGGCTTTGCTTGTCTGAAGGTTGCAAAAGGGGATCACCTGACCCCAGGATACCACGACCGTCATAAATATGAGCCAGCTGCCTGGGACCTGAATTTTGATTATATAAACCATGCATCTGAATTTCGATTATGTGACCATGGGGATGCGGCAATAGTCGTAAGTCTGAAAAATGGTCATAAGTCACTTTTTTCAGTGCCGTTGTACGTTCGAAAAAAATAATTAAGTGAATGTTGTAAATCGAGGACTATCTGTATATTCATTTATGGCTACTTGAAATGTGAGGCTTACCCTTCCATATTTCCCCACCTGCTCCTGAATAAAACTTTATTTTATGGTCATATTTGTTGGGGGGCGGGGAGAAAGAAATTGGTGATATATCTAGAATAATAAAACTTTATTTTATGGTCATATTTTGGGGAGAAAAAGAAATTGGCAATATATCTAGAATCTATAAATATATCACCAATTTCTTTCTCCTCCCGCCCCCAAAATATGACCATAAAATGTTTTATTCACCCTCACCTCTTATTGGTACTTAGATTACTGTTTGGCACCCTTGTCAATTTTAAGCCAGTTTGACTTCCAGAATCCCCCAGCCAACATTCTGCAAGCCCTTCCCCGACCTCCATGAGGGCGAGCATCTTGAGATGCCTGTGAGGCCCAACACTGGGTGGAGACCAGCGGGGACGGAAGGCCCGACGGTCGCCATAGCAACGGCCAGACACGGCCCTTGAAACCTCGCGAGCCGTCGCCGAGGCAACGTAGAAGGCCCCCCCCCGCCCCACCCCGGGCCGGCAAGTCTCGAAGGCGATTCGTCGCCGGTCGCCGTGGCAACGTAGAAGCCCCGGCCCGGCAAGCCTTGCGGGCGGTTCGCCTTTGGTCGCCATGGTGACGTAGGGGCCCTGCCCGCCAGGCCTAGCAGGCGGGCCTCCCGCCGCCGCCGCTGCTGCCGCCGCCCCTGCCCCGCCTCAAGCCGGCGGGAAGGCGGGGTCAGCTCGCCCGAGGGCCCCGAAAAAGAGCGGATGCGGCGGCAGGCGCTTCCTTTCCTTCACTTTTGGCCCTCCGACCGGCCATGGCTCCCGCCGGCGACCGCACCGGCTACTGGGGCCCGCCGACGTCCACCCTCGACTGGTGCGAGGAGAACTACGTCGTGTCCTTCTACATCGCCGAGTTCTGTGAGTATGGAGGCGGCTGGGTTGGGCGGGGGGCAGGTGCGCTTTCCCTCTTGGAGCCCCCCCCCTTCTCCCAGGCCGTGGGGGGATGGAGGGGGGGGTCATTAAATTATTGGGGGGCCTCCGCCCCCGCCTTGAAGCGTTTCATCTTTGCAAGGGGGGGGGGGGACCAAGGGGGTCGGCTTTGGGCAAAACCCACCCCCCCCCCCCGAGGTTATTTTTGGGGGTGTGTGCAGGTTCCCCATAGGAATTGCTTAAGGGGGAGGGTCTTCCCCCCCCCCCATTCCAGATCCTTCTTTCCTCCCCCACCCCATTGTGGAAGACTGGAACTATGGGGCGGGGGGGGGAGGGGGGGAATCTTTGGAAAAGGTTGGGGCAATAATGAGAAAGAGCATCTTGGGTGGTCAGAATAACAGCTGGAAGGGGCCTTGGAGGTCATCTAGTCCAACCCCCTCCCCGCCGCTCAAGCAGGAGACCCTATACCATTCCAGACGTATGGTTTGTCCAATCTTTTCTTTAAAAAAAACTTCCAGTCATGGAGCCTTCACAACTTCTGGAAGGCAAGCTCTTCAGAGCAAGAGAGTTGGAAGGGATCCCTGAAGATCTTCTAGTCCAACCCTCCCTGCTCACGCAGGAGAAACGGTATCGTTTCAGACAAAGGATTGACGGGGTCTCTTTTTGAAAGCTTCCACTGATGGAGCACCCGCAACCGGAGGCAAGCTATGCAGAATAAAAGAATCAGAGAATTGGAAGGGACCTTGGAGGTCTTCTAGTCCAACCCCCTGTTTGAGCAGGAGACCCTATTCCCTTCCGGACAAATGGTTGTCCGATCTCTTCTTGAAAACCTCCAGGGACGGAGCACCCACCCACTATCCCACTATCTGTTGCTTCTTGTCCTGCCTTCTTCAGGGGCTTTGGAGAATAGCTTGACCCCCACTTGGCAGGAGATTATCTGGGGATACCTGCCCCCCTCCCCCCAATAGTCTGTGGGGAAGGGTTTGTCTGTGTTTCCTATTTTGTAGCTTTGCATGGCATGTTGAGGGCTGACTTCTGGAACGGTTGACCCTGGACCCGTTTGTGGGAAGAGGCTTAAAGGAACTGAAATGAATGAGTGAATGCTTTTATTGGCCAAGTGTGATTAGACACACAAGGAATTTGTCCTGGCGCAAAATACTCTCAGTTGTACATAAAAAGAAAAGATAACATTAGTCAAGAATCCTCAGGCACAACACTTAATGATAGTCATAGGGTACAATAAGCAATCAAATCATACTAGGAAACAGTCCATAAGAATAGTTAGGATGCAAGCGACAAAGTTACAGTCATACAGTCACAAGTGGGAAGGGATGGGTGATAGGAATGATGAGAAGATTTAATAATAGTAATGCAGGCTTAGTAAATAGTTGGACAGTGACAAAAACTGTCCTTGTGTGTCTAGTTGTTCTGATATGCAGTGCTCTGTAGTGTCATTTTGGGGGAAGGAGTTGAAACAGTTTATGTCCGGGATGTAAATATTTTCACAGCCCTCTTTTTGACTCGTGCAGTATACAGATCCTCCATGAAAGGCAGGTTGGTAGTAATTGTTTTTTTCTGCAGTCCTAATTATCTTCTGAAGTCTGTGTCTGTCTTGTTGACATAGGTGCCTAAAATTTCTAAGACTGAAAGCACTCGTTGCCCTGTTTAAAAAAAAATAAATGAGAAGTTTCTCAGGTTGAACTTGGCTCCTCGCAGCTTCATGTGTGCATCTGTGTAGTTTTCTCGGCATTTGTGCTACTTTCTTCCCAGAGTCTTCCCCTCTCAATGTACAGCCTTCTGTAGATTTCTTGGTGGTCTCTCGTCCGTGAGAGGCATTCAGCATTCTTTTGGCATCGGTCAAGTTATGAGAGTGCTGCTCCTTAACACCTTCCCATGCTCCAAAAAATAAATTAAAAACTTGAAAAGTTTCACTCTATGGGTGGGTGGGGGGGGGACACTTGTAGTTAATGGATTTCTTATAGTACAGCTTTAAAAAAGGAAAATAATAATGATACTATTATTACAGGCCTTTCCTACAATCAGACCATTAAATTATACAGAGAGTTAATTTTCTGGTTAAAATTTACAAATGGGGCAAATGATTCCAGCAGTCAAAGTTTCCTATCCAACAATACAGCAGACTCTTATAGCGACTTCTGGAACTATAGAATGTTTTTTTTTTTTCTATAGGTCAGGCGTGGGTGGAAAAGATCTTCTAATTTCTACTGCAATTTGGGAGCTGAGATTTTTGCAAAAGAATAATACTACATTAAACAAAGCTTCAGCAAATGCTGCCTTTAAAACTAAGTTTGGCATGGCATTTAAATGTTGCTCCTGCTTTTCCCAACCAGATTGTATGAATACAGTGTTCTACAGTTGTGCATTAAGAAATTCCGCTGATGCGCTTTTACTTTTAAAACTTGCTGATCTGTCAGGTTTTTGAAAACAAATTAGCAAACTGGTCAAGCGTATTAAAAGCAACTCACCCTTATAAATATCAGAAGGAGTCTGGTAGCATCTTTTCCAACAGACGTGTGTTTTACTAACCGGCGTAAGGTTTCATGAGGGCATACGTCACAGCAACATGGCTTTTAATAAAATACCAGTAGTCCTTGACTTGCGACCACAATTGAGCCCACAGTTTTGTTCCAAGTAAAACAGTCAAGTGAGTTTTGCCCCATTTTACAACCTTGCTACAGATGTTAAATGAATCACTGCAGTTATTAAATTAGTCACACGGTTATTAAGTGAATCTGACTGATTAACTTTGCTTGTCAGAAGGTCGCAAAAGGGGATCACACAACCACCACCCCCCACTCATGGGGATGCTGCAATGGTCCTAAGTCTGAAAAAATGGTCACAAGTCACGGTTTTCAGCGGTGGTGTAACTTCGAATGGTCATAAGCCGAGGACTAATGTTAATTGGAAAAGGTACTGCCAGAAATCCTCCTGTTTATTATTACCATTCCAAGCCATACATCCTTCTACTTCTGCGTTGGCTACTCTTATCATATGAGATGTTTGTCACAATCATTCTTTAGCCCTTTAAGAAGAAGATGATGATGATGTTGGACAAGAAGAAGGTGAAGCAAAATAATCCTAAAAGTTAATTTCATGTAGCCATTCCAAAAAGTACATCTTGACAAAGGTTCAAATTCCAATGTCAGTACCACAAGTAAGTTAGGAAACACTCTTGTGGGATTACACAAGCTGTGTATCTTAAACTTGCTGAAGATAGTGTTTGATAGTTTACAGCGAGCCAATCATATTCCAGATAGCTGTATCTTATTATTTACCAAAAATACATTATTACACTATATCTGTTTTTATGATTGTTCTGTTGCTGTGTTTGCTGCCTGTGCCTTCCATTGATATCACAAAGAAAATTCTGGGATACGATCTATCTTGTTTGGGGAATGTCACCTTTTATGGACATTATGAGAGGGAAATTTAATATACTTTATTGATACATATATGAAGCTCCTGTTTCAAGAAAGTTCTCCATTCTTCCAGCTGATGAACAGGGTTTTTTTTTAATTCTGCTAGGCATTTTAGAAAAGAATAGGAATAGGAATGGAATAGAACAGAACAGAATTCTTTATTGGCCAAGTGTGATTGGACACACAAGGAATTTGTCTTGGTGCAGATGCTCTCAGTGTACATAAAAGAAAAGATATATTTGTCAAGAGTCGAGAATCATCAGGTACAACACTTAATAATAGTCATAGGGTACAATAAGCAATCAAACCATACTAAGAAACAGTCCATATAGAGTGTAAGGATACAAGCGACAAAGTTACAGTCATATAGTCACAAGTGGGAGGGGATGGGTGATAAGGAGTGATGAGAAGATGAATATTAATAGTGTAAATAGTGTAAATAGTTGGACAGTGTTGAGGGAATTATTTGTTTAGCAGAGTGATGGCGTTCGGGGAAAAACTCTTCTTGTGTCTAGTTGTTCTGGTGTGCAGAGCTCTGTAGCGTCGTTTTGAGGGTGGGAGCTGAAACAGTTTATGTCCAGGATGTGAGGGGTCTGTAGGTATTTTCACAGACCTCTTTTTGACTCGTGCAATATATACAGGTCCTCCATGGAAGGCAGGTGGGTAGACATTGTTTTTTCTGCAGTCCTAATTCCTCTCTGAAGTCTGTGTCTGTTCTGTTGGGTTGCAGAACCAAACCAGGCAGTGATAGAGGTGCAGATGACAGACTCCGTAATTCCTCTGTAGAACTGGATCAGCAGCTCCTTGGGCAGTTTGAGCTTCCTGAGTTGGCGCAGAAAGAACATTCTTTGTTGTGTGTTTTTGATGACGTTTTGGATGTGAGGTGTCCATTTTAGGTCTTGTGATAGGATAGAACCTAGAATTTTTACTTAGCACAGTTGCCACAGAAGCGAGATGCCAAATTATTTATCATAGACGACCCTTCAGACTTGACCAGTCCTTATGTTTCTTCTTCCCGTTTCTACTTTATGCAGAACCCAAGTTTGTTGTTATGCAGGTGGCCCTCGAGTTACAACGGTTGGTTTTAGTGACCGTTCAAAGTTACAACGGCACTGAAAAAGGTGACTTAGGATCATTTTTCACACTTAACAACCATTGGGGCATTCCTATGGTCAGGTGATCAAAATCCAGCCGCTTGGCAACTGACCCATATTTATGACGGTTGCAGTGCTCCAGGGTCACGTGTTCCCCTTTTGTGACCTTCTGACAAAGCAACCAAATGGGGAAGCCATTTTTTCTTAACAACCGTGCTACAAACTTAACTGCAGTGATTCACTTAACAACAGTGGCAAGAAAGGTCGTAAAATGAAAGGGCAAAATTCACTGAACGAATGTCTCAACAGAAGTTTTGGGCTCAGCTGTGGTCGTACGTCGAGCTGTGGTCATACGTACCTTCCCTCAAAACGACACTATAGAACACTGCACACCAGAACAACTAGCCACAAGGACAGTTTTTCCCCGAAAGCCATCACTCTGCTAAACAAATAA